TAACTTTCAGTCACGTTTAGTCAACATTATTTATGACTTAATTGATATTTGGAATGTCAGGCGAAGGTAGTTGACCCTAATATTGTGATTTTCGTTCAAATACCTATTTGTGGTTGATTCGTCTTAATAAATTCATGCGAATAATATCCTTACATCAATAATTACGACTGGCATGCCAATACATTCGTAAAGGCTATCCAAAAGAACCCAAAATGTCTTAACACCAAATGACCACCAGTCAGCCAAAATTTGCTTGTTAAAAAGGAAAGATTTGTTTTTGAGGGAACGAGGTAAGTAATAAAACATACCCTCGTCCCGAAATTCGAACCGGAAAATCCTGATACTAGCCATCAGTACCGACCACAGCACCGCTTTGCCTTTCGGTTACATTGTTCGGAACCTTAATGCAGCAAATCGACGTTTGAGATGATGCCTCTGTTTTCTAGACGCCAGTGTCGCTATGCAGTCTGGGCGTGGGTGCGACTTTCGGCGAGTCGATCCTTCAAGACTTACCTCGCGACAGCACCGTGGTCACTCGGTCCACGTGCGAGCTGCTCAGGGTAGAACAGCAGGACTTCAAACTCATCTGGGAGGTGAGTGCTGCGTCGAATTGTTCTTCTGCATCCTTAATTGCCAAATCTGGAAGGTGGTGGCCTTAACACCATCTGTATTGGTTGCGTCATTTAAGTTGGCTGGTAATAGAAGAGGCCTTCTCGAAGGTATCACCACCTTGTCGAAGGCAATCTGCCGGGTGAGGAGGCTTGCGTGCTCAAATGACCCTTAGTGCTATGCCGGCCTGAGCTTCGGCTCATGGTAGGGTCACCCAAGCCGGACAGGTCTAAGGAGATGCGCTAGACTAAGAGTGATACCCTGGTCCTCCAGGTTGGGGGTTGGGTGTAGGGCTAACAACCTTTCCCCTTTAAAAAAAATATGTGTTACGAAAAAATCAACCAAGCCTCGGATCAGGACGGACTCTTTGGCACGACCACGGCAATTGAAAAAGGACATGAGATTTGGTACCTGGAACATTAGGAGCCTCTATAGGGCTGGGGCACTGAAATCAGTGTGTAGGGAATTAGGGAATTATAAGTTAGACTTAGTGGCAGTGCAGGAAGTGCGATGGGAGGGGGAGGGCACGATCCCAGTGGACAATTTTACATTTTTCTATGGAAAGGGGAATGACAATCATCAGCTAGGGACGGGTTTTTTTGTTCATAGCAGAATTAGGGCAGCAGTTAAGAGAGTAGAATTTGTTAGTGACAGGTTGTCTTACGTAATTTTGGAAGGACGTTGGTGCGACATCATTGTCCTTAATGTTCATGCCCCAACTGAAGACAAAAGCGATGATATCAAGGATAGCTTTTATGAAGAATTGGAATCAGTATTTGATACATTTGGCAAGTATCACATGAAAATTCCGCTAGGAGATTTCAATGCAAAAATTGGGAGGGAGGATGTCTTCAAACCCACAATAGGCAGCGAGAGTCTCCATGCACTTAGTAATGATAATGGCGTCAGAGCAGTGACCTTCGCTACGTCAAAAGATTTAATTGTAAAAAGTACAAAATTTCCACACCGTGATGTTCATAAATACACTTGGACTTCCCCAGATGGCAGAACACACAATCAAATAGATCATGTTTTAGTAGATAAGAGAAGGCAGACAAATGTAATTGATGTGAGATCATTCAGAGGAGCAGATTGCGACACTGATCATTATCTGGTGGTAGCAAAAGTGAGGGAGCGGCTTTCAGTAAGTAGACGAACTAAACAAAATTTTGACACAGAAAGATTTGATTTGAAAAAATTAAGTGAGGGAGAGGCAAAGGAACAATATCAAGTTGAAATTTCGAATAGGTTTCAAATTTTAGAGACAAATGAGGATAATGAAAGTGTGGACATCAACAGGGAGTGGGAAAATGTCAGAAACTGCATCAAAATTTCAGCAAAAGAGAAACTAGGATACTACAGGAGAAAGCAAAATAAACCGTGGTTTGATGAAGAATGTTCAAAATTAATAGATCGAAGGAAGCAAACAAAATTTCAATGGTTGCAGAACCCAAACAAAACAAATGCGGATAATCTATGTAACGTGAGACGTGAGGCTAGTAGAACCTTTAGGACTAAGAAAAGGGAATACCTGAAGGGCAAAATTGCTGAACTTGAGACAAATAATAAGGAAAAAAACATCAGAGACCTGTACAGAGGCATTAATAACTTTAAGAAAGGATATCAACCCCAGACTAATTTGGTAAAGGATGATAGTGGCAATTTGCTTGCAGATCCAATAAAAATTGTGGAGCGTGTGTTTCTTAATGCCTTTGAAGTTTTCCGATTATCAGTCGCCATTCTTGCCTGTCCATCCACTTTCCTCCTTCCAGTCCTCTGTCTGCAATTGTGCCCCGAATGCCGTCCTTCAGTCCAACTCCCGGTCTCCCGTTTTTATTTTCTCTTGCGGCATCTACTTGTTTCGGATATCTCTGCCATTCCTTGAACATGTCGTTTCGTATTAATAGTTTCTTTTATATCATCCAGAACTAATTTTGTAAACCAATTTATTCACAAATACGTGAATCGGAATTTGGTCTTTCCTTGATACTCTTGCCAATGGTGAGGATGATTCTTATATTATTTATCGACTATGTTTAAACTTATTAGGAATATTTTCAGGATGTCTGGAAGCCCTGCCGATATTCGAATCGGATAAATCTCGTATACAAATCTTGATTGATCTGCTCGACATGTTTACTTTTGGAATTACTTAAAGCTACACCCAGACTGTATAGTGTTGTCTTGTGTCACTTTTAAATCAACTGGACAGGTGCCTTATTTGTAGGATGATCCTACAGTTTCAGAGTTTGTCTGTTTGTCTTGACATTCGATGACTGGACTTATATTTCTGCTTGACGCTAGATATTGTTTTCTTAGCATGGAACTGTACCTTATATTCTGAATGGAAGTTTAATTATTTCGCCGAGGACTTGATTGCACTGGCTACGAACCGAAACTTTGTTATTATACAGCAATCCAATTGCACATTTTGACACTATTTATCTTTAAAATCTATTTACATTTTCCAATTTTCTCTTCCCTTCAGGTCTTCGAAGTAAAATGCTGTATGTATTTTTCCTATGTGTACTATATGCCCAGCCCATCTCATCCTTTTGATTTTATCACCCTAATAACATCTGGTCAGGCATAAAATATCAATGCTGTTTTAAAGTTGAATGCCATACCGTTGTATTACAGCCAGTTAATCACTTATAATCCTTCTGATCTTCTGATATGTTTCGATCTGTAGCGGCCGTTATAAGTGGTTATTTGTGTAAGTTATTACGTTACTACAGTACAGATTTATGCTATTAAGGCAATGCAACGAAAGTAAAATGGTGATCTAATGAAGAAACCAGACGATATAAGAATTTTTACTCTTTTACGCTCGCGTCTGAATATAGTATATAACACACATCGTAGCATAAGGCTGTCCATAACTTTCTTTCATAGCATTTAATAGAATTTTTATTAGGAAGCTAGTAATGAACTTTAAATATTATGATACCTTTGACTACTTACGTGTATTTTATTTCGACATGTGCCATAATTTTGTGTTCATTGTATAATTTTAATAGCATAAACACGCATTACAATATTGTGATATATTGATAACCCCTGATGGTGGCCGCTAGAGGTCGAAACATGTCTAGGTTTCTTAAATTAAGTATTTTTAAAACATAGTTATGTTAGATAACAAATGTGGTTCGTACTTAATCTTACTTTCGCTAATCTGCTAACGATTAAGAAATGAACACTTCGTAAACGTGGTAGCTTAAGTTGACTTGTATGATAAATAAGGGATGAGCAATGTTGAACTTTAAACTTTGAAATATGCGCCAACTTTCAGAAACTGTGTGGATCATGGAACAGTTCTCTAAAGCTTGTTGTGGGGTTCATTTACATTCACAGATGAGTTTTCATCAGATAGCAGTTTAAACTTTGAAAAGTCCCCAGAAAGTTCCACTTTGCTATTTTAATTCTATATACGAATAAGAAACGGAATATAAGTGCTGTAATTCATTCACACAGTCCATCGACTGTGAACACCTTGCCTTGATTATTAACTTTCCTTTCACTTAGGTGTTAAAATATTGAATTAAGTGTGCGGGAATGAAAAGGACGTATGTCACAAAAGATAAACTTTTGCAAAGTGGAAAGAATGTTTGTGATTTTTCAGAGATCTAAAAAGTCGAGTAACGCAGTTTTTCTAATCTGTGTTTTGATAACCCAAATTACATAATTTTTGTCTTCGACATATGTCCTCGTCACAATTCTTATTAGCGTAAATGGTTTAGACAGAAGTCAAGCCCATGATTACTTAAGAAAACTATATTATTTGTCAGAACTAGTGTAAGTTTTTAACTTACATTCCAGACCACTATTTTCATGTCTATTTCAATATTTTGTCGTGTTTCTCTCTGCTGATTGTCTTCCGTACCAGAATATAAGTCCAAAAATAGTAGTTTTCGTGATCAATATACTTGATGACGTATTTGATGCTGTGAATGTTTTTGACATTTGACGGGTACATTTCATCAAGGAATGCTCTTTTGTCTGGTAGGTGGGGCATTTTGTTTGGAACAGACAAGCCTGGATGTATGATGAAACCGTCGGTTAAATCTGTGGTCGTGACTTCTCCTGAACTTGCCTTTCATGAAAAATATAAAGCGTGACTTTATTTTAGATTTGTTCCAAACACAATTACTTAAATCCGGTGAAAATTAAGACTGTTAAACAGGTGTATGTAGGAGTAGCAGATTTTGAGATATCTATGTTCCGTTGGTAGGCAAGATTCTACCACTAAAATTCAGCTTTACGAGTAGTTATGAAAACTGCACAAGTCCATGACATGTGATCTTATCATAAAATTTGTTTAAAAAATTGACGAACCCTGGTAAGATATAAACAAGTTTATGGATCTGAACTTAAAGAACGGTATTCGATAAAGTGCAAATTAAAATATATTGGCATGTCTTCTTTTCATTTCTACGAATTTGTTTATTTTCAATGTTTATGTTGTGTATAACTTGTTTTCGGCAGATGTATGATGGCTTGTGATATTCAAAATGGCTCCTTTTTAGATTACTTTCCTTATTCTAAGAAAGAGCATTGTGGTATAATCTGGTCCGTGTGTAGTGACTTTTGGTAGAAGGGAGGGTTCTTCATGAATATGATACGAAGATGTTCCATTGGAAGCTGCCAGACTTGAAACATTTTTATTTATTGCCATCCTAAATATAAAAATGGCTGCTGGGTAAACTTCTGAGGATGTGTTCATAAAACGAAGTAAAGTAGGCCAGAGGGAGAAAAAATAAACAGAGAAGATTTTAACGTTTGAAAATGGTAAATGTTCTCTATGTAAGTATGTGCCTGAATGTAGAATTTCTACATTTGATCAAGCGCTTGAAAGAAGATTTTAGTGAGTTGTGCGGGACTGCATAACAAAAGAATTCGAAGGTAATGAACAGTTAGTGAAAGGGTGTGGAAGGAAGCGGTTATGGCCCATTATTAGATCCTGTCCGTGGTTTTACCTGGAGGG